TTCACCAACTAATACAGTTATACACATAATTATAACAAATCACAAGATTCAAACTCCACCGAATAACACAACATAAATTCAATATATCTTAAGATCAGCACATGAACCAATTTACACAATAACAACTCTCTTTCATCTTTCTCATGCTCACATAACATATATATTAAGGCCTTAAAAACTGAATCAAAACGTTGAATTTAAGCACGAAATAGGCATATAAAACTCGTGGAGAACTCAACAAAAATAGACCGTAAACTCGAGTCTATTACACGTGAGTTCAGCACTTAAACACATGCCAGCCACCTGAGTTGTCGCAACAGTCAAGGAACAAAGAGCACAATATTCAAACTCACAAACACGGATCCAAAATCGAACGAAGAACAAAAGAGCAAAATGCGAGATTCACCTCTTTCGGAACTACAAGCACAAGCGAGATCAGAACTGAAATTTAAAGGCTTCAGTCGCGCTTTGGTGGCTGCTCGGTTGCTGCTTGGAACAAAGGCACCTCAGTCCATGGAAGGCCCACTCTCGGCTGGTGCTCGAATCGCCGGAAAAAGGACTGGCGGCCCTCAGCCCGGGCACTCTGCAACCGAAAATATGCACCTCTGTCGTTGCTGCTCTCGATGGGTCGTCACCTGGACCAATTGGTCTCAACGTCGGGAAGAAAAACTCAGGCCGGTGATGGTGGTTTTGGCCGCGAACGGAACTCACCTCGTCGGGGTCTCGCTGGTTGGCTTTACATCACCTTCTCTTCGTCGGGGTCTCGCTGGTCGGGAGTGCAATTTGAACATTGCACTCCAAAATCTCCAATTGTAGGTTGCTGCCTTTTTTTTTTTTCTTTTGCTTTTTTTTTTGGTACATAGACGGGGCCTGGGCCCAGAAACTATGGTACTAGAATGCGACGTGGGTAGGTCACCTCACGGATGTCTTGGTCAATCCAAGAGTCCAGCCCTCGTAGGGGTGTCGAGATCCTGTGCAATCCTAGCGGAAAGTCAACCGCTAATTTTGCCATCTGATCAGCTGCAAAGTTGGCTTTCCGATGTACATGAAGAATCCGAAGGTTCCAGTTTCTGCTCATCAAGTCCCGAATGGCTCGAACTAGAGATTTATTGGCATCAAGCTCATCATGTGGCCCTAAGATCATGTTCAACACGCTTTGACTGTCGACTTCAGCTACCACTTGCCGGAATCCTAGATCCCAGACTAACATTAGCCCTTGAAACAAACCCCATAGTTCAGCCCGGTGATGGTGCCCATGCAAATATTCATGAGAAATCCTTCTACCCATTTGCCACGATCATTCCGTAACAACTCACCCGCACAGCATAGTCCTTTGGTGCGGTTGAAAGTCCCGTCCGAGTTCACTTTGACCCACCCCGGATCCGGCGGTTTCCACTGAATCATGCGGATAGAATAGGAGGCCGCACCTGCCCGTGTATAAGCCTCAGTAGCCTTGATATAAGAGTCCGTTCTGCACAGAACGTCCATAACTCGAGCCTCAACACCAATTAGGCAATTTTCAAATGTCTGTTCGTTGCGCCATTTCCAGGCGCTCCAAATCCCAATCGCAAATCTGCTGCTCCAGTTAATGACTGAACCTCGCGGCGCCCCACATAAGTTACGTCTCATCCACGTCCGAAGTTGCTGTTGGGAAATTTCGCGTGCGCTCTCAGGCGGCAGGAGCTGATGCCACATCTGCTTTATGATAGGCAATCTCGCAGAACATGTAATGTAGTTTCGCTAGCTCCACAAGCCTCATATTCTGCTGAGGTAGCGAGATGGCGCCGTAACCTCTCGCTATTGGTCAATAAACGACCATGAGCTGTTAACCACAGAAAGGAGCGGACTCGTTGCGGTACTTGGGTACGCCATATAATTTTCCATAGCACACGGTCCAGATCGCTCGTTTGCGGGGCTAAATATTTATAAGCTGTACGTGTAGAGAAATCTCCATCGTGGGAGGTGGCCCATAGGATACGATCCGCTCCAGCATGCTCTCTCGGTGGAGCGATCCTGGCGATCCTCATGATAACGTTAGAGGGAAGAACGTCGTGAAAATCATCCCATTTCCAGTTACCTCTATCGTCCACAAATTCCATCATAGTCAAGCTAAGGTTGTCCTCAGGCGGTTGTGAAGATGCATGATGAATGAGAGGTCCAAGATTACCTACCCAAGAGTCAAGCCAGAATCGTATCGTTTCCCCAGTGCCTGTAGTCCACCGAGCTTCTTTCACCATGTAGGGCCAAATCTTGCACAGGGATTTTATTAACGGTGATCCTTGCCGGCACCGGCAATTACTCAGGCCTTGCAACGGTTCGATCCCATATTTAGTCGTCATGAGACGACGCGCCCATAATAAGTTGCTCCTCGTTAAAAGACTTCATCCGAGCTTCATTAGAAGCGCATAATTCATGTTACGTAAGTTATTTATTCCTAGGCCACCTTCCTCTTTGGGTTTACACACTTTTTTCCAAGCGACCAAATGGATTTTTCTCTTTTCGGCGGTACCACCCCACACAAATGCCCGACTTCGACGTTCCAGGCCTTCCGTGATAGCACCTGGTAGCAAAGCGGCCTGCATGAAACAGTAGGGCAAGGAGCTAAGTACCGACTGTGTGAGTGTGACGTATCCCGCCAGTGATAGAGATTTCATTCGCTAGCCAGCTAGTCGTTCCTCAGCCTTGGTCAGAATATGGAAGAACGTCGATTTGGTAACACACCCATGGATAACTGGAATTCCTAGGTATTTCCCTAGGTTTCTCGTCCATGTAAAACGCAACGCATCCGCCAGTCTGTGTTGCTCGTCTAGCTGCACATTGCGTGAGAAAAAAACTTGCATCCTTTCCGAGCATATCTTTAGACTCGACATATCGCAAAAGCGGTCAAGTGTTCTCTCAATAACCTCTACCTGGTCGTCAGAGGCTTCTAGGAACAGGAGGAGATCACCTGCGAACATTAAAAATGGCTCCTTAACCGACCCTCATCCAACGGATATCGGTTGCCATGAATGCCGTTGCACCTCATGTTCAATGAGTTGTGCCATTTGCTCCATGCAGAGAACAAATAGGTACGGAGACATTGGGTACCCTTGACGAACTCCCCTTGTGGGTTGGAACTCCTCATCTAATACTCCATTCCATAGTAGTCGCATTGATGACAAACGGACGCAAGCCATAATAGCCTTAATCAAAGAGCTTGGGTACCCGGCTAGGTGCATGGTGTCTTCGATAAACTCCTATCGAAGAAAATCATAAGCCTTCTCCAGGTCGACCTTGATGACCATGTGGCCCGTTGCACCTTGCTTACGGCGCATGGAATGAATCAGCTCGTGTGCCACTACAACATTATCGATAATTTGGCGACCCGGGACAAAGCTGGCTTGAGCCGGGTGGATTAATGTGGGGAGAGAGCCTTTCATTCGGTTAGCGAGCACCTTTGTAAACAGCTTATAGATGACGTTCAACAAACTGATCGGTCTAAGTTGCTTTATAGTGGAGGGGTTATCAAATTTGGGAATTAGAACAAGCAAGGTCTCACTGGGAACTGCACCCTCTCGCCACATGTTGCGAATAAATTCCTGAACAGACGGACCCACGATGTCCCAATGCTTTTTAAAAATAAAACATTAAGGCCATTGATCCCCGGAGGTTTCAACGAACACATCCCTTGTAGCGCCACGAAAATTTCGTCATCTCATATCTCTACCTCCATGGCATGCATAAGTTCCATGTCGCACCGTTGAAACAAGGAGGGCGCCACCTCCGTCCCCACCGGGTCCTGCCCCCCGGTATATATTGTTTGAAAGAAGTTCGTGGCGAGTTGTTGAAGGGCCTGTTGGTCAGTGATATGTTGGCCCACGTCATCCACTAGTTCCATTATCTTGCTCTTTCGCCGACGGAATTTAAGTTGTCGGTGAAAGTAAGAGGTATTTTTGTAGCCCAAGTGCGACCAATCTCTCGTAGTTTTCTGGAGGAGGAGCAGCTCTTCTTGAAGGATGACATCATCGAGTTCCGTACGGAATTGACGTTCCAAGGCCACTAGTTTTTCCGTGAAATAATAACGGCAGTTGTGTTGGATACCTCCAATCCATACGAGAAGCTTCTTCTTGCGTTGAAAAATATTCCCAAAGACCGTGGAGTTCCATTCCGTGGCCGCTTCTGTAAACTTCTGGGACGCCGCAGTGAAACACAGTGTAGGGTGCCACGAGCCTTGGAGCATAGCACGAAATTTCGGATGAAGGTGCCACGATTCTAGGAACCGGAACGGTTTCACCCCCTGGGGTACAAAATTATTTTGGCCGAATACGTCCATCAAAGGCGAGTGGTCCGATTGGATGCGAGGGAGCAGTCGCACCCGACTTGTCTCGTAATTTTCCAGCCATTCTAAGTTTGCCACAAATCTATCGAGCCTTTCCATGATTCTACCAAATTGGTCGTCCCTAAGCCATGTGAATTGATGTCCATCCGTAGCCACCTCTTGGATTCCATTAGAGAACATCCAGTCTGCAAATTCGGGGCTAATATTACAAGAAGTGCGGGAGCCCCCTACCTTTTCAGAGGAATATAGCAGACAGTTGAAATCCCCACCAATGAGCCACGGAGTGAAAATGCTCGAGGCTAACCTTGTCAGCTCAGGCCATAGGCTTCGTCGAGTAGTGTCGTTGGGGCTAGCGTAGATAAAAGAGATGAGGCATTCTTCACCATCTTTGCCTACCTGAACGTGCACCAATTGCTTAGAACAAAACAAAACTTCAATAGACACCTTATCCCTTCATAGTAACCAGATGCCACCAGAAAATCCCCGGGCTTCAACTCGGAAGAAATTTTTGAATTTGTTGTGCCGCACGAACTTGTCAGCAGTAGCCCCACTAATCCGCGGTTCAAATATGGAGACAACATCCGGATTATGTTGTCGAACTAGAGTGAAGAAGCCTCCTCGAAATGCGGGCGAACCAGCTTCTTGCACGTTCCAGGATATAATATTCATGGGGAAACTATACAGGAGGTAGTGCGATCTGCTCTCAATTGCCGAGTTGGCCACTTGACCGTGAGTCGTCCTCCCTGTCCATAGGTTGGGGTGTCTCCTCCAAGCTGTCCGTCGGACCTCTTCGTAGTTGTTGTTTCTCTGGCCACGGTTCTTGGAGATATATGAACCTCGTGTTCACCATCCGTCATAACCTCGTCGCCATTGGTGTCGATGGTATCCAGGCGACGAGAGTTAGTAGGAAGTGGGTTGCTGTGGTCCTCATCCACAATGATGGCCTGATGTTTGGTTGGGTTCAATCCAGCTCCTACCGCGATCGTTTCGATTTGGTTCTGTAATGGATCTTTGGTCAAAGGCCCGACTCTGCTCCTCATGCTCATAATAGGCTCGGTTTGTTTACTACGCTGTAGTTGGGCCACACCGGCCTTCTTAGAATGTCCACCTTTAGGCCCACTATGTTGTCCTGGCCCAAATGTGTCTACGATCGGTTGATGGATCCCATGCATATTGCTTTTTTTCTTGCTCGTGACGGTGCGCCACTCCCGCTCACCTGGGTTTCTAGCAGTCCCCTTTAGCAAGTCGCCCGCCCCCACCGATTTCTCCACTGATTGGGTACGGAATTCAAAATTTGAAATTGCTTCTGGATACGCTTCCTTGCCCAAAACACCAAATCGAGATCCTTGATTAGGGTTTGATTGCGGATTTTTAGGGGTCTGAGCCGGCCCCTTGTTGCGCCGGGAATACTGTTGTTTCGCCCATTGCGGGACCTCAATCCATGGTCCGTACGGTGAGGGGTCGCTCCTGTTGCTGGTCGCAGGTTTCCCGCCGCCGCCGTTCACGTCCATATATAGGGCGGTCGGACTGTACTTTCTCAGAGTTGGCAGCATTGTCTTAGGGTAGCGGGTGGTAAAGGCACGAGGAGCTGGAGTGGCCAAGTCGCCCACAGTGAAAACATATAACGGGCATGTTCTCGTACACGACCCGTTGTTGTTTGCGTTAAGGGTGAAGTTAACACACAACGACTTAGTAATATCCACGACTACTGCAAGCCGTGCAAACTTACCTCGAGTGAGTGCTGTCTTCTGCTGGTCTATTTTAATGACCTTGCCCACTATCCGCCCAATTGTACGAAAGACTTTATTATGATAAAGGTGGGCGGGCATTCCCGGCAAACGAATCCACGCAACTGTGGACGTGACTTCAGCTTGCGTGGCATCGAATGTAATACTCCACGGCTGGACATGCATATATCCATTCCCAATGACGTACGGACCGCCCGTAAGAACTTTCACCACATCCTCGTGGACCTGAAAATGGATAAGGTAGAAATCATTTTCTAAGTCCATCATATTGCATCCGGCCATAAACGGCCACAGCTTGGTCATCGGTTGTATAGCGATGCCATGGTGATTGATTCATCAAAAGGCTTGATCACAACCGCGTTCTGCCATTCCTTTGTTGATGCGATCGATGAAGCCCTGAGCAATTTTAACCTCCAGTACCAGGCTGGAGAAATCGACCGAGACCTCTTCGTCTACCTAATTAGGCACGTCGTCTTCCTCATTGTCCAGTGACACATGGGATTTGTGCCTATTTACCATATCTCGAAACGTCCACCGTAGGGGAGGAGGCTTCGCTTGGGCGGGAGTGTCCAAGGGTGGTTCCTCTAGTGGGTTCAGTGGCGGAGGAGTATGGTATTCCAGGAATTCTCCTAATATACGGGTCCGCGGTCGTTTAGGTACCGAGCGAACGCTCGATGTCAGTGATGGGAAATTTGTATTCGTGCTGTGCTCCGGCGGATCGACCCCAGGGTTGAAGGTTGTCCTGATAGGGTTGAAGGCAGCGAGAGAGTTTTTAGAGAGAGACATTTTTTTTTCTTTTGCTGATGTCAAATAAATGGGGTTGCTGCCATTTCTTAACTCAACAAAGACTGTTTTGTTTTATTCCTTCTATAATTAAATAGAAAAGGGTTGCGCAATTTTGAATTGCTTTTGTAGTGGTAATTTATTATGATTAATAGTTTAGTACTAATTATTTTAAAATATTACCCAGATGGTACCTTAATGGATTAAGTGAAACGTTCAATGTCTTTTTTTTCGAAACGGAAAAAAATATGCATATCACTCGACAAGGGAATAACAGTCAGTACAAATGGGCGTGCGCATGGGCACAAATCTTAACTAACTCTAGGTAGTTAAGGGAAAACGAGCAAAACCCACAGAAAAAATAGAGAACATAAAAAAAAAGGAACCTGGAAGCAAAAAGGAGCAACAAAAACATCCCAGGGGAACAAAACATAGACTAGCAAAATAAAACAGAAAGGGATTGAGCAAAATAGAAAGACTCTGCAGCCAATGAGAAACGGTGGTTGCTCTTCCACTGAGCCCAGGAGCTCCTAGCTTAGTAACCACTTATAGAAGACCTTGAAGAACAAAACCACAAAAAGAGACAGAGCTAAACAACATTAAGGCTAAGCTCTTCAAATTCCATCCATTCCCTCCGAGCTTGGTTTGCAATGTCACTTTCCAATTTCCACGTGTTGTTGAAGACCCAAAGATTCCTACACTTCCACAACCTCCAAAGAATGTAGGAGGAGTAGTGGATTCTATCATTGAAGCTCGTCACTTTCCGCATAGTGCAAATATCAGTCCACCATGTTTTGAAAGAGAGTGAAGGGTTTTGGAAGGCTGCCCAATCAAGCCCTGCCAGTTTCCAAACCTTTGCAGCATGCGGGAAAAAAAAAAAGAGAATATGCTCCAGGGACTCCGCACCATTGCCACACACCTTACATATGGGATAAGTCGGGACTCCTCTTTTGATGAGCTGATCTTGAGAGCCAATATATTTAAACCAACATCTCCATATAAAATTTTTGATTTTGCTCTTTATCTTCATGGACCATGTTGTTTTCCATACCTTGGCTTCGATGAGCTTAGCATTGCTGGCTTCGGGAGAATTTTGGGCCAGGTGCTTGCTCTTTAGGATGAGAGAGTAGGCAGATTTGACAGTGAATTTTCTAGATTTGTGAGGCCACCATTTTATGCGATCGTCTTGACCTGATCTTGGCAGGGCAATGGACAGGATGAGTTGAGCTTCTTGCGGATTGAAAGTTTGTTCAATCAGATCTGTGTCCCATATGGAGCCATCCGGGCCTAGCAGGTTGCACACCTTCTTCAATCTCAATCTATCACAGTTAAAACCAGATGAGGGGCATAGGTTGGGGGCGCCAGCCAGCCAGGGATCAGACCAGAGGCAGGTGTTTTTGCCATCGCCAATTAACGTCAAGGTTCCTTTTCTGAGGTGTCGCCTACATTTTAGCCAGGTGATCCAAAGCCATGAGTCCGTAGATTTGTGTTGGGCTTCCCAAAGAGAGCAATTGTGATAATATTTGCCTTTAGGACCTTGCTCATGAGAAGATTGGGGTGACTGAGGAGCCTCCACAATTGTTTGGCTATAAGAGCTTCGTTGAAGGAGACGAGGCATTTAAAACCGAGACCTCCTTCCTCCTTTGGCTTAGCTAATTTGTCCCATGAAGCCCAGTGGAGCTTATTACCACCATCAGTTCTCAATCCCCACCAAAATGATGCTGATAACCTGTAAATCTCTTGACAAATGCATAGTGGTAGTTTAAAACAAGACATGGTAAAAGTTGGTAGGGCCCCTATGACAGTTCTCAGGAGGATTTCTTTTCCAGCTTCGCTTAAAAAATATTTTTCCAAGATGAAAGCCTGCTGGCCACATTATTAACAATAAAGCTGAAAGTATCTTTCTTGGAGGAGCCTAGGCCAAGGGGGAGACCCAGGTACCTGGTGGATCAGACAGTAGAAATTCCATTCAAGATGGAACTGATCTCAACCCTAATTGGAATATATGTGTTCCTGGAGAAATAGACCGATGATTTGGAGAGATTCACCCTTTGCCCTGAAGCGGAACCGTAGATGTTCAGGATGTTTGATATAAAAGTGGCATGAAAGGGGTCGGCTTTGCAAAAAATGATGGAATCGTCGGCAAAGAAAAGGTGAGTAACAAATGGGGAGTGTCTGCTAAGCTTAATGCCTTGGAAGGAAAGGGCGATAGAGGTTTGTTTGATGAGATTGGAAAAAGCTTCGGAGATTATGATGAACAAGTAGGGAGAGAGAGGGTCGCCTTGTTGCAAACCCCTAGATGGTTTAAGGTTCCCTTGTGGTTGGCCGTTTATGTTGAAGGTGAAAGATGCGGATGTGACACATATCATGATCCACAAAATGAATTTGGTGCAAAAACCCATTTTACTGCAGATGGATTACATGAAGGTAAAGTCATGGATTACATGAAGTTGGAATGACCCAAGTCTTCAAAATTGAGTGAGGAAGAGAAGTAGAAAAATCTGATGCGTCAAGTTGATAGACAATTGTACGAACGAAGCTAAGCGAAGTGAAGGTAATTTTTGTTAGGGGAAAAAACAATGCTACTTGTTATGAGTTTTGCAAGTGTAGCCCTTTTTGCCATTTAAATCAAAACTAGTGTTGACACCAGTGCGATGCACGGGATGCTATAGAAAGAAATATTTTGAATTTAAATACTATAACATTATTTAAGACAATATGAAATTCTATTAACCACAATATCCTATTAAGTAATAATATGACAAGTATTTATTTACTATTGTTGTTAATTTTTATTTATTTATATATAAATATATATATATATTTTGTAGTTTTAGACTATTTAATATATAAATTTTATTATTTATTAGTTTATAAAATATTATAAACGTATAAAAATCATATGATATTTGCATACAAATTACTTGTATGTACTGATAAAATTACCGTTTATCAAGGTCTTATATTTTTTTTTCAATAATTCATAATTTGTGCATTGCTTGATGACTGACCAACGTTTAACCATAATATTTATCTTCCGGTACAATTATTAAATGTATTAAATGTTTAAAACTTTGATAAATAAAATTTTATTTTTTAGTAACTTTAATCCTTATGCAACACATAAATTTTTATGGTTAAATATTTTACTTTTATGTTTTCATTTTTATTTATATCTATTTCTCTAATTCATTTTTTCAACCTATATAATGAGTTATATAGTATCTATTCAAAAATTTAGATATATTATATATTTCTATAATGACCAATGCAATACTTTATATTATTATACATTGTTATTTTTATTAACTTATTTTTTCTTTATAAAATAGTATATAAGAATTTTTTTTTAAAAACATTGAATAGTTTTTTAATGTACATAGATACTTATAAGGTGAAATTTATGGTTATGAATTGCACCCGACCATCAAATTTTATTTTTATTTATAGATTATTTAAATTTTCAATAGTATTATATGATATATTCAATGGGATATACCTTTTTATAGTTAAATTGACTACATTTTAGAAACTTTTATTAATATTTGATATTATTTATTAAGTTATTATGGTCTAAATATAGTTATTCTTATTATTTATTAAATATTTTAAGTACTTATAAATAGTGAATATAATTAATTAGATTAATTGATAATATATTTAATCAAATCAATTTCCATAATATTTTTTTTTGAAATGTATCAATAAATTACTATTTAATTAATATAAGATCTTATTGAAAATATATCTAATAAATCTACGGTAAAGATTTCAATTTAGGCCAATTTGTAGTTAATGAGTAACAATCATTGAGTGTATAAAAATTATATATTTTTTATACATAAGCTTTGCTAATAAATAAATATTAATCAACACTAAATATAGCCGAAAAAATTTTTCGCCTAAAATCATGACAATTATGGCAATAAAGATTGGTCTATTATATAGATATAAATATAAATATAGATATAGATATAGATATAGATATTGGTGGGATGGGGTGAACTTTTTGTCCAACCTTTTTCCAAAAATTAGTACAAAAATATTGTCTTTTTTTCTTTCCTGCCTTGCGAAGTTGAGATAACATGAGATAAGATCATAATAAATGTTCAAAACCTTTTATTTTTCTCTTCAGATCTACAGTATAATGGAGCGTAGAAGGAGAATTAGAAAATTAAATATGTCAGTTGCTTCGAGCTTTATTTTTTTATGAAATAATTTGTTAAAAATGAGTTATTTTGGTTAACTGTGGTTAATTTTTAAAAATATAATATAATTAGTTATTAGTAGAATTTTAAAAATGTATTAAAACAATATTTAAAACAAAATGATTAAAATTGATTTGATATAAAAGTAAGAAATAAATGACTGAAAATAATTGATAGTTAAAATTATGTGAGTAGATGAATAGTGAATTAAAGTTGATTTGACGTGTAAGAATG